CATAGAAGAGAAAACTGTAATTTGTTCTTCAAGGGGTTTGCTAATTATACAGAGATGGGAAAAAGAAAAAGAGACATCTATACAAACAACATATTCTTAACACCCATATTTTTGTCAAAGCTGAAAGCCCTTAGGTAGCCTAGCAACAAGGAGGAATCATTTACAGATGAAGCATTCTACTTCAGACAGCAAGGCGTTCTACACTGCTACTCGGCTATGACTCTACTGCTGAGTTCAGTCACAATCATGTCACACTCACAAAGAATGAAACCCACTGGCTTCACAGGATACAATTTGAAGCATGTTTTAAAAAACAAAACAAAACAAAAAAACCCAAAATGAGCATTACATCTTCCTTAGAGGGATTGCCCTTAACATTAGTAGGTCTTGTAAAAACATGTGTTCATAATAATTATTTTCAAGACCTGCATCAAAAAAACAAAAAAAAAAAAAAACAGTCAGACATTAAAGTAGGAGGGGGCTGTATGGGAAGAGGAGGCCAGCAGAGAAGAGGGGTAAGAGATGTCAGTGGGATGAATATGCTCACAATCGACCACATGTATGAAATTGTCCAAAATTAATAATTAATCTTTTCAAAAACAACTTTGTGCAAGTTAGTACTAATTTAGAGCTTCTTTTTCTGGCTGAAAATGGCATCACTGTTCACAGGTGACAAAAGCAAAAGAAACAGATGAATCACTTCATCAAATTATCAAGACATAGGGAGAAGGACACCAATCACATCACCAAATTTTAAATTTTATATACCAAGACATAGGGGGAGGGACACCCTGCAAATTATTTACAAGCTATGAGTCCTATGATCCAGAAGTCTAGAAAGAATTCCTAAAGCTCAACCATGAAGACTTAAAATACCACAGCTTGAAAATGAGCAAAGTGAGACAGTCCAGCAGGTAAAAGTGCTTGCTGCCAAGCCTGACAACTTGAGTTTGATCCCTGGGACTCCCATGGTGGAATGAGAGAACTGACTCCAGAAAATTATCTTCTGACCTCCAGTTGAGTACCATGGTGTGAGTATGTACAAATAAATGTGATCTTAAAATTAAATATGGCAGGCTGCTTGGAGTAGAAGGTGCACCAACATGTCTAATAATTCCAGCAGCAGTTTTGACTGTCACATTACCATTGGCAAAGAGCTGACTCTACCAGGTACAAACACTTTAAAGTGACTGACAGGGGTCACCTTACATCGGCAGAGGTCAGAGGAAGAGACTGTGCAGTAACTGTTGCACAGGACAGAGTGCCCAATATACCACTGGATTCCAGCACAGTGACTCACTTGTTCCAGATAAGGAAAACACTGGCTGTGTGATGACTGGAATGACAGCTGGCAGCAGACCCCAGGTAGAGGACAACTGTGAGGCAGCTAATTAGAAATAGCTACTGTGAGGTTCCTGTGGACATGCTATGTACAGCTGCTAGTATTTCTTACATCTGTATCCAGAATGCTGGCCCGAGGCTCTTGGTTGTTATATGATTGTAGTTGGTATAGCTAAGGAACAATGTCCTCAGGTATACAAGCACAACCCTGCAGGTTACTAGCAGGGATCTAAAGACACTGCAGCAACAGCAGATAGAGAGTCCACCAGCTTCCTTGAAAAACAAAAATGAAGAAATTTGACACTGCACTTACATGCCTGTCTACTGTTCTGTCAAACGATTTCATGCCCTCAGAAACAGAAGCTGGAGTAGCAACAGATAAGATCCCAAATGCTGGATCGTGCAGAAGCAGAGCTTGACATTCACCTTGCTGCTTTAGCAGAGAAAGACTAAACATTGTCATTAGTGTACAGAATCCATGATGCCACCTGCAACACTATAGAGGGCCCTGGATTGGAAAGGGAACCTCTCCTGTTCCTCCTAACACTAAATAGGTTAAAACTCCATATATAAACAAACAAACAAACAGTGCTTTCAGGTGGAAATTTAATATATATTCCAGTAACCTGAAATATTCTTTTGTTTTTTAAATCACAAATGAGAATTTACTTTCTTCTTTTTTTTTTTCCGGGGGGGGGGGGGGGGGTTCCTCTGTGGCTTTGGAGGCTGTCCTGGAACTAGCTCTTGTAGACCAGGCTGGTCTCAAACTCAGAGATCCACCTGCCTCTGCCTCCTGAGTGCTGGGATTAAAGGCGTGTGCCACCGCCACCCCAGTGAGAATTTACTTTCTAATGGTATTCTTTTAAGAAAGAAAGGAAGAGAGGAAGGAAGGAAGGACCAACCAATGGACAGAGACAGACAGACAGACAGACAGACAGACAGACAGACAGACAGATTGATTATTTTGGGTACCAGCTCCATCTGAGCACTGTGCTAAGGGTTCTACACAATATCTCATTATTCTGCAAATCTTCACAGTGTGCTTCACTTTGTAGATAAGCAAACAGACACTTTAAAGAGTTGATTTGCTTGCCCCAGGCTGCAAAGCTAAAGCTTGTCGAGAGGCCACACAAAGGATATTTACACACTTCAATTACCTGCTAGCTGTTACCTAACACTAGCTGCATATCCTATTGGGGGACATGGCCTCACACTCTAGTCACCACCCACTGAACAGCACTTATCATGTCCTAACACTGACTACAGGCTGGTAAACTTTCAAATCAGTAACCTGAATGTCACAGATCACTGAAAAGACACTATTTTAGAGTCAGCTGTGGGAGTGTCTCTATTACAAATCAGGCCACAAAAAAAGAATGATCATGCACGCCTTTAATCCCAGGACTTGGGAAGCAGAGGCAGAGGAATTTCTATGAGTTCAAGGCCTGTCTGGTTCGAGTAAAGTTCTAGGACAATGCTACGCAACAATACTCTGTCTGAGAGAGAGAGAGAGAGAGAGAGAGAGAGAGAGAGAGAGAATAAAAAGGAATTTAGCATGGATATAGTACCTATTGAGTAAACTCTGAAACAACTGTGCTATGCAAGAAGCCAAACAGAAAAGCCAAATAGTGTATGATTCCATTTGTACAGATGTCCAAGATGGTAAAACCATAGAGACAGAGTTAAAAGCTTCATTTGCTGTTAATTGTCTTCACACTCAGTAGGGATGATGTAACACACAAACAATGCAGATGATAGTCCTTTAGCAATTTGGAACCATGCATTCTTTCATGCTCGAAGTTTATTCACTGTGTCAGCAAAGGGTTACAGAAGCCAGGCTTCTCCTTCTCACCCAAATGTACCTGAAAATGTCTTGAAAGTAAGTTTATTATTTCTTTTCCCCCATTGCTATTTATACTAATCAACTTTCTTTCTCCAGAGAACCAAGTAAGGCATACACACACAAAACTCTGTTGGCAATTGATTCCTGAAAGGCTTTTCATTCTTACAGTAATTTACTTCTGTCTTTTCCTCTTTTTGGGAATCACAAATGTTACCTATTTGTCCTCAGTTACCATCAACAAGTATAGTGAAGGCAAGCCAAGAAATAGAAATGACAGGCCATGACTCACATATCACAGTCTCTACCATAGTTATAGAACAATACTTATTACATACCTAGCACAGGGCAGAGACAGTTGTGAGGGACTAAACTCTGCTCAGTGGAAATAAAGTAAAAAGTAAAGGGAATAAAATGAAGACCCTGTCATCATAAGTAAGCAAGTATTTTTCTAGTGAAACTGCTAAGAAGTGTCAAATAGGGTGGGGCAGAGAGCCTAAGGAAGCCCTGACCACACTGCTCTGGGTGGCCTCGGCAATGAAGATCAGGATGGGTGAAGGGGTAATGTACATTCATTGTTAAACTGTCATGTACTACTTGAGCTCACTGAGAAGCTGGTGCTGGAAGCAAGGCTGGCACCCCAACTTCAGGCCCAAGCATGTTTATGTCAAGTGTCTTCTAAGACTTCCTTTCTAGGGCTAGGCTGGCCCCACTGACACTGTTACAAGGGCAGGAAGAGAACAGCAAAACTGCCCAAAAGTAAGACACTGCACTCTTGAAAACAGAAGGTAAGCTGTTTCCAACAGAGGTTACTGTTTCTCCCATGACATAAGAGTGCCTGCAGCAGGAAACAGACACCTGAAGTTCAGCTAAGGGAAGCTCAGCCACAGAGAGAGCTTTATTGGGAACTCTGGCTGACTGCCTCAGCCTCCCCAGTCAGTTTCTTCTGGATACTGTGAGCACCCAATTTGATGATGCCACCTCTATCTGTTGTTATTTGTTCCTTTACTTTGAAACCTCACCCAAGAGGACACTCTCTCTGTCTGGAATTCTCTCTTCATGAACTTCAGGTGGGAAGCCATAGGGACTAGTAGGCTTTGGCTAGAAGTTCCAAGGACCTGATTTGATGATGTTTAGCTATCTATTACCTATTTATTCTTTTACTTAGCTTGCTATATATTTAATTCATTCTTTCTTTACAACAGAAAATAGAGCTACTATTGTAGATCATCCTCCATACGCATCAAAAAAAGGAGACCGTTATGATAGCAGGACCAGTGTTTCAGGAAGTGAAAGTCATAAGCACAGAGGTGCTCAGGATGTTCTAACTTAGCATGACTGCCAATGTGGCAGGTGTAGAGAAAACTTTCAGAAAGAATGGCTTTGAAATAGGGGTCCAAGCCACATTACCAGGCCTGGGGACCACTAAATTGCAGTCTGGCTATAAGTATGACTAGGTGACCAACAACACCTTATTTGCATTCTAACAGGATTACTCTGAATGCTAAAGGAACACAGACTATGGACATGGGGGAGGAAGATGGACCAATGTCCCAATGCTGCCAGGACAGCCTGGGTCTGCACCAGCAAGTTAGTGGGATGAGGAGGAGAATGGACTGTATCTAATGGATACAATTGAGGTTCTGAAACAAAGGCAGTGGGAAGCCCACTGGCCTGGAAAAGTAGATGGAGGAAACCTAACTTTAAAGACCTAGAAAACTTTATTGAAACATCTAGCATCCATTCAGCTAAAATAGCAAAAGCATTATTGCCATGAAACTGAAAAAATGCAGAAATGGAGACTGGTTTTCCCACTCACCATTTGCAGACTGTATCATATTTCCAGACTTTTGGACTTCATCAAATTTTGTAAAAATGACATTCAACCTGTTTGAAAACAAAAAAATATATATATGGTATATCAATCATCACCTTTATGATAACAAACACTATTAAGTTGACTGCCCCTGACACCTTAGTTTTTTTTCTGTTGCTGTGATAAAATACCCTAACAAAAGGAAGCAAGGAGAGAAAGGGTCTATTTCAGCTCACATTTCCAGGTTACAGCCCTCACTGTGGAGAAGTCAAGTCCACATAAGTCAACTTGAAGCAGTTAGTCACACCATAGTTGAGAGGGGAGACAGAATGAATGCACACATGCTTCTAATCAGCTCAAACTCATATAAAAACCCTACCCAAGGGAACTGTGCTGCCCACAGTGGGCGGTTTTCCCACTTCAATTGACATAATCAAAACAATCCCCCATGGACATGTTCATAGGCCAAGCCAATGCAGACAGGTTCTCTGATGGAGATGCTCAAGAGATCCTAAATTGTGTCAAGTAGACAATTAAAACTAACAATCAGCCCCCACACCCAAAATGATCAATTATAAAAACCACTCAGCAAGAATAGTAACTCCCAAGCCAGTCGGTAGTGGTGCACGCCTTTAATCCCAGTGCTCAGGAAACAGAGGAAGCGGCAGGCAGATCTCTGTGAGTTCAAGGCCCGCCTGGTCTACAGTAACTGATAATAACCAGCAATAACTGACCATCTAGAATAGCTCCATCACTGGTTTAAGGACTCTGTCTAAAAGATCACACTTGGGGTTCAAAGTGCTAGCTCTGTGGGTAACAATGCTGCACAAGCATGAGGACCTGAGTTCAAATCCCCAGTATCAATGTTAAAATTGGCTTTGGCCATTCACAAACCTGAAACCCCAACACTACGAGGGGTGAGAAACAGGAGGGTCACTAGGTCTTGCTGGCGACCAGTCTAGCTTCAGGTTCAATGAGAAAGTCCATCTCAAAGGAAATAAGGTGAGAGTGATATAGCAGGACACCCACCCCCAGTGGAAAACATTTTTTAAAATTTGTTTTAAAGGTTCGTGTTTCTCCTGCTTCTTTTGAAACAAATTGCCAGTTACTTTGCATAAAGTTTTTATAATGTGCTACTTTCATGATACAGGCTTTCTCTGACTTCTGCTTCATTCCAAATGTTATAAATAACTCCTTCTAAAAACAAATGTTGTGACTGAACATGCTTCAGCTTAAGAAATCTACATGGCACTTCTAATAACAGATTATCCCACCTTGGCATTTAAATGCAAGCAAAACTGCTGATGGGTCAAAACATTCCATCCTAGCTGACACCAAAACCAAGGAAAAAGACAGGCAATGTAACATTACCTAGAAGCAAAAGCACAGAGGCTTTCCAAGAAAAAGAGCTCCATACTCTCTGCTGTGAGACAAACACTGTTGCCCCAAAGCACAGCAGTCTGCATTCAAGCAGTTGCTATCCACTTCTGAGACCAGGCTAGTACTAGCACCCTCTTGCCCTCCCATCCTGCCTTTGAAAGCTAACCATTTTCACACGTTTCCAGAATGGAAACTCCTTGGAGGCTGAGATGGGAGCCGTGTTCTCTTGGTAATAATGTAGAGGGTCACCTGTGAGAGTCACATGATACAGAGAGCTGGTACCTAGCCATGCCTCTGCCTTCTCTCTGGAACACTAAATACAGTCTGGTCTTAGTTCATTCATTACTCATTCATGCAACAAATACTCAGGTTTCCACTCCGTGCCTAGCTCAAAGCTAATTAGACACTGAATGGGAAGGTTGCTTCCCTCTGAAGCTTTAAGTTGAAGTAACAGGCAAGCCAAGAACACTACTGGCAAACAAAGGGATGAAACTGCCTTTTACCATGCCTCACCCCTCCCATCCCACAGGAGAGACCAATAATCCTTTCAAGGCTCCCAGGTCCAGACACAGCTTCAGAATCCTTCCCAAATTTACTCCAGAACACCACTACCCACAAATCAAAGTGGAGACTGAAATAAAAGTCCAACTGCTAGCTCAGGGCCAGACATGAGTAACACTATCACTCACATTCAAATCCAGTGGTTACTAAAGATCCGGAAAGATGCCTAAATGTCAATTCCTGAGGTGTTTCCATCACCTTCCCTTTTAAAGCAACAGAGATCTTGCATGGATGGACAAGCCCATAAATAGGCTCACTGCACAGGTTACCAGGGTGTGCCCTGACTTGGGTACCACTTTATTGTGTCACAACCACACCCTCAGCCATGACAGGAACATGCCAGCAAGTTTACAAGTTAGGGCAGCGGTACCCCTTTCATCTGGCTGTCTCTGAAGTTTCTGGAAGGTGAGTATTACATTCTTGGGAGAGTCCCAGTTAGAAATGGCACTTGTGAAAACAGTGTTGTAGGATCTCTCCAAGAGGTGAGGTCTTAACCAACTGTGGTAGCCTTAACCACATCCTGAGGCCTCAACAAGCAGGAGGAGAATATCCAAAGAAACACCACTGTTCCTGGCTCCTGTCTTCACTTGGAATTCTCTTCGATAGGATGCCTTTCCATCACTGTCACATTCCAGGTTAATAACTCCCTCATTCTTTGCTCAGTAGTGCTCCCATCATGGCTATCACGGTTACACCTCAGAGACCTGCAACCTGGCTTTGGACAGCTAAACACCACACACACACACACTCCTTAGGCATGGAAATACAGGCTTTCATCTGCTAGCTTCAAACACAGCAATTTAAGAGGCCTCTCATGGAAACCATCAATTGGCACAAATATAAACATGTGAGTTCCAGGTTTGTAACCTAGTTTCATTCTATTGTGGTGATAAGACAGCCTGACAGAAGGCAGCTCAGGAGAGAAAGGGTTTGTTGTAGCTCACAACTCCAGGCTATCGCCCACCACAGCAGGGACATCAGGGCAGCAGGAACTCCAAAGTCACACGCAGCCCAGGCCGGAGAGAAGCGATGTCCGGGTGCTTGCCTATGCTCACCTTGATCTCTCCACTCTTGCACAGTTCAGGTCCCATGATTAGGGAACAATGACACCCAGAGTGAGTTGTGTTGTCCCACAAAAGTAAAATTAGAAAAAAAAAAAATCCCCCTAGACAAGCTCACAGGCCAGGCCAATGTAGACAACCTCTCCCCAGCTGAGTCTAGGTGGGGTCAAACTGACAGTAAAACTGACTTCGAACCCTCTGAAGCTATCAAATAGTTTTGTTTTTTAATCTTCAGATTTCAACTAAACATCTTGTGGCTTGGGATATGCCTCAATGGTAAAGTGCAGAGTACCATACATGTAGCCTTGAGTTAAACTCCTACTACCCTCAAAAAAGAAGAAATTAATTTCTTTATTAGTTTGACGAACCACCACTATCATTTTGCCCTAGTTTTTCCGAATCTAAATATTTATATTAAATTCAACCCAGATAGTTTATTGTACTGGAAGATTTGTATTTAAATCTTTGCTAGAAAATTTTAATAATGTAAAGTGTAAATTTTAAGTCTTCCCCAAGAAACAAATCCTGAGAATCTCAGTCAAAAAACATAATCAAACACCAAGAGCTCAGCTTATGTCTCCCCTCCTGAATAAGGGTACCAAAGTTTTTAACATAGAGAGATGAAAATACATGCATTGGAGCCAGTGAGATGCTCAGTCAGTAAAAGTGCCTGCTGTTAAGTCTGACAACCTGAGTTTGACCCCCAGAACTCATAAGGTAGAAGAAGAGAACCAATTCCCATGGTCTGCGCTCTGCTTACCACATGCATACTGTGCTATGTGTGCACATCTTCCACAACTATCCATCTATCAATCTATCTCTGCCATCCCTCACGTTCTCTCTCACACACACAAGTAAGTAAGTGACCTGAAAAACTCTACCAGGGAACTCCTACAGCTGATAAACACCTTCAGCAAAGTAGCAGATACAAGATTAACTCAAAAAAAAAAAAAAAAAAATTAGTAGCCATACTATATACAGACGATAAATGGGCTGAGAAAGAAATCAGAGAAACATCACCCTTTACAATAGCCACAAACAAGTGGCTTGGGGTAACGCTAACCAAACAAGTGAAAAACCTGTATCATAAGAATTTTGAGTCTTTAAAGAAAGAAATTAAAGAAGATACTAGAAAATGGAAAGATCTCCCATGCTCTTGGATAGGTAGGATCAACATAATAAAAAAGGCAATCTTGCCAAAAGCAATCTACAGATTCAATGCAATCCCCATCAAAATTCCAGCACAATTCTTCACAGACCTTGAAAGAACAATAATCAACTTTATATGGAAAAACAAAAGACCCAGGATAGCCAAAACAACCCTGTATAATAAAGGAACTTCCAGAGGCATCTACATCCCTGACTTCAAGCTCTATTATACAGCTATAGTCCTGAAAACAGCTTGGTATTGGTACAAAAACAGACAGGTGGACCAACATGGAATCGAACTGAAAACCCTGATATTAACCCACATACCTACAAACACCTGATTTTTGACAAACAAGCTAAAATTATACAATGGAAAAAAGAAAGCATCTTCAACAAATGGTGCTGGCATAACTGGATGCTGGAATGTAGAAGAATGCAGACAGATCCATTATCTATCACCATGTACAAAACTTAAGTCTAAATGGATCAAAGACCTCAACATAAATCCAGCCACACTGAACCTCTTAGAAGAGAAAGTGGGAGGTACCCTTGAACAGATTGGTACAGGAGACCGATTTCCTGAACATAACGCCAGTAGCACAGACACTGAGATTAACAATTAATAAATGGGATCTCCTGAAAATGAGAAGTTTCTGTAAGGCAAAGGACACAATCAACAAGACAAAACGGCAGCCCACAGACTGGGAAAAGATCTTCACCAACCCCACATCTGACAGAGGGCTGATTTCTAAAATAAACAAAGAACTCAAGAAGCTAGTAACCAAAACACCAAATAATCCAATTAAAAAGTCGGGTACAAATCTAAATAGAAAATTCTCAATAGAGGAATCTAAAATGGCTGAAAGACTCTTAAGAAAGTGTTCAACATCCTTAGCCATCAGGGAAATGCAAATAAAAACAACTCTGAGATACCATCTTACTTAGTCAGAACGGCTAAAATCAAAAACACCAATGACAGTTTATGCTGGAGAGGATGTGGAGAAATGGGAACACTCCTCCATGCTGGTGGGAGTGCCAACTTGTACAGCCACTTTGGAAATCAGTAGGGTGGTTCCTCAAGAAAATGGGAATCAGTCTACCATAAGATCCAGCAATTCCACTTTTAGGCATATACCCAAAAATGCACATTTATACAACAAGGACATCTGTTCAACTATGTTCATAGCAGCACTATTTGTAATAGCCAAAACCTGGAAGCAACCTAGATGCCCCTCAACAGAAGAATGGATAAAGACAATGTGGTCCATTTACACAATGGAATACTTCTCAGTGGGGAAAAAAAATAATGGAATCTTGAAATTCGAAGGCAAATGAATGGAACTAGAAAAAACCATCCCAAGTGAGGTAACCGGTCACAAAATGACAAACATGGTATATACGTACTCATATATGGATTTTAGACATAGAGCAAAGGATTACCAGCCCACAATCCACACCACTAGAGAAGCTAGGAAACAAGGATGACCTTAAGAGAGACATAGATGGTCCCCTTGAGAAGGGGAAAGGGACAAGATCTGAGCTAATTGGGAGCATGGGGGGAGGGGAGAGGGAGTTCAGAGAAAGATAAGTGGAGAAGAGGAGGGAAGAGGGGTACTTGAGGGAGCAGGAAGATTGAGTCAGGGGAAGAACACAGGAGAGCAAGAAAAGAGATACCATAACAGAAGGAGCCATTAAGTTTAAAGTGAAATCTGGCACTAGGGAAATGTCCAGAGATCTACAAGGATGACCCCAACTAACAATCTAAGCAATAGTGGAGAGGCTACCTTAAATGCCCTTCTCCTATAATGAGATTGATGACTACCTTATATGCCATCCCAGAGCTTTTATCCAGTAGCTGATGGAAGCAGACACAGACACCCCACAGCTAAACACTGAGCTGAACTCTGGAATCCAGTTGCAGAGAGGGAGGAATAAAGATCAAAGGGGTCAAGACCAGGCTGGAGAAACCCACAGAAACAGCTGACCTGAACAAGGGGGAGCTCATGGAGCCTAGACTGAGAGCTGGGAAACCAGCATAGGACTGATCCAGACCCCCTGAACGTGGGTATCAGTAAGGAGGCCTGGGCAGTCTATGGGGCCTCTGGTAGTGGATCAGTGTTTATCCCTAGTATAAGAATGGACTTTGGGAGCCCTCTCCTCATAGAGGGATACTCTCTCAGCCTAGACACATGGAGGAGGGCCTAGGCCCTGCTCCAAATGATATGACAGACTTTGAAGATCCTCCAAAGAATGCCTCACCCTCCCTGGGGAGCAGATGGGATAGGGGGTCGGTGAGGGGCAGGGATGGAGGGGAGAGAGGGGGAACTGGAATTGACATGTAAAACAAGCTTGGTTCTAATTTAAATTTTTAAAAATGTAGTTAAAATGAAAAAAAAAAGAATTATCGTTTCTTAAATAGCAACAACAAATCAAAACTTTTTGCAAATGTAATTCAAGGGGAACAGGTTCATCCCAAGAAGGCAGCAGAGCCTCACAGTTTTGGACACAAGGATCTGGTATTAGTCATGAAGGAGTTAAGGAGTCTTCCTCCATGGTTAAGGAAAGCTACTGAGGCCAGGCCTGTGTCAGCAGAGTCCCTACATGGAGGCCTAGAAAGGCGAACGGTATGACTCTGGAAGTGAAGCATGGATTGTGTTGGCGATCTGAAGCTTTTGGAGATGCCAGAGCCATGTGATATCTGCCAAGGAGAGCTGCTACCAGGGAGTGGAACCAGCCCAAGAGAGAGAAATGTGTTGCAGTCAGACAAGCTGGAAGGAGAAAGATATCTAAGCCTTTGACATTAGAAGTAATCCTAAAGGATTTAGAGTTTGCTTTCTGGGTTTTCTGTCTTACTTTGGTCCATCATTTAATCACCATGCCTCCTTCCCTCCCTTTTGGGAATGGTAATTCTGGGCCACTAAATGATAGAAGCATGAAAATAGCTTTTTGGTTTTATAGGGTTTTAAAATTGAGAAACTGTCATGAGTTCTAGAAAAGACTTCATACTTTTAAACCACACTGAGCCTGTGAAAGACCATGTGGACGTTTGAAGTTGGATTAAGTGCATTTTGCACTATGATATGGCCATACACTTATAGGGGTTAGAGAATGGAATGTTGTGGTTTGAATGAGCGTCTAGAGGCTCAAATTTGATTGTGTGGTCTCCAGGTGTCTGGGAAGGATTAGAAAGTGTGGCCTTGGAGGATGTGTGTCACTGGGTGGGCTTGGAATGGGTGGGCTTGGACCTTTCCAACGACTCACTCCATTCTGTGTGTGTGTGTGTGTGTGTGTGTGTGTGTGTGTGTGTGTGTGTGTGTGTGTGTGTGTTAAGTGTGTGCCTGCCTGCCTGCCTGCCTGGTTTGCAGATCAGATGTAAACTCTTAATTGCTACTCCAGCACCATGCCTACCTGCCTGCTGATTATGAGTTCTAACCCCCTGGAACCATGAGTCCCAATAAAATGCTTTCTTTTATAAGTTGCCTTGGTCATGGTGTTTTGTCACAACGATAGGAAAGTAACTTAGACAGGTATGGAATGGGGCCAGATTCATCTGGCATGAGTCATCTGAGGTAGATGAGAGAGTTGGGGGTTGGGGGAGGGGGTGCTGTAAAAGCCCGAGATCAACCTTGAGTGCCATTCCTTGGATGCCAACCACTTTTCTTTTTGAGACAGGTCTATTGGCCTAGAGCTCTTCAATTCAGCTAGGCTGGCTGATGAGGGAGCCCTAGGGATCATTTGTCTCCACCTCCCCAGTGCTGAGACTACAAGCACATGCCACCACATCCAACTTTTTTAAAGTGAGTTTTTGAGGCTCAAACCTAGGCACTCCAGCGTACAAGGCAAGCACTTTGCTGAGCTGTCTCCCCAGTCCCAAGTCTTATTTTTGAAGGAATAAGATAAAAGGCTTCCACTGACATCTGTGGTAGACTGGAGAGGACTTCTAGCCACCAGCTTCATAACCATGCGTTCTTTGAATAAAATTATCAGTCAAAAATAAAAGCATGATGAGCTAGAGAGATGGCTCAGAGGCTAAGAGCACTGGCTGCTCTTCCAGAGGTCCTGAGTTCAATTCCCAGCAACCACATGGTGACTCACAACCATCTGTAATGAGATCTGGTGCTGTCTTATGACCTGCAGGCATACATGCAGGCAGAATACTATATACATAATAAATAAATCTAAAAAACAAACAAAAAAAAGGAGCATGAACAAAGATGAAACCTGGAAAGGAGCAGGGGAGGGAGTGTGGGAACAATCATATATAGAATAAATGTTTTAAAAATAGTTTTAGGGGCCATCAAGTAAAGGCAGTTGCTCTTGAACCTGACAACTTGAGCTCAATTCCCCGTGCTCATGTGGAGAGAACGAATTCTTACAAGTTGTCCCTGACCTCCACATACAACATGGCACAAAGACCCCCATACACAGAGACACAAATAAATACATAACTTTTTACGTGGAAAAAGGAGAAAGTGAGCACTCACCGGGACTGTGGCAGCCCTTTCTTACTGAGGTCTGCCCTCACACGTTCGCCTACGTGTCTGTAAATCTCCACCAGACTGTTTATTGCTGCATCTCTAACCTAGACATAAAAGAAGAGATCTTACAGGTGCTTCATGCCATTCCCCAGCTCTTCCAGATAATATACCCCAATTCATCACCAGCCTACCAGTAGAGCTGTGCAGAACAATCCCCATACATGCCAAACTAAGCAAGGGCACATTTAGATGTTTTCACTCCCATAAAATAACTCCAAATCATAGAAAATGCAAATTGTAGAAAAGGTCCCCAGCTTTTTATACAGACCCCAAGTCCTCCCCATTCTTTATCATGTAATCCTGAAACCAGAATTTTCAAAACAAAACAAAACTATGCTACGAGTAAAGTATCAGATGTGTAGTGGTTTGAGTAAGACAATGGCTCCCAGCTACTTGAACTGTTTGGGAAGAATTAAGAGGTATGGCCTTTTTGGAGCAGGTGTGTCACTGCACTCAAGGAATTTGCAATACTAAAATGAAGAAACACTACACACAAATGCCACTTTTAACAGAAAAAGGCAGGATATGATCAATGTTGTCCAAAACCAAACATCATAGCAGAAAGATAGGAGCAGGTTTGCTGGGTAAAGTGTTGGCCCTGTAGACATGAGGCCCCTGGTTACCCTTAGAACCCATGTTTTTTTTGTTGTTGTTGTTGTTTTTTTAAAAAAAGCTAGATGGGCACACACTTAGGATCCCAGCACCAGGAAAGCAGGGGTAGGACAAGTCTTTACTCTAGGCTTTTTGTCTTGGTCCAGGTCTCTCAAAGTTTGGTATATTCTCTTCAGACTGATACTCAATGCTATCTCTAATATCAAATATGAAAACAACTGAGTTAATGTGTTCAGAATGTGGGACTGTGCTGATCATGTGATATTTAACCCAAGTTACTCTCAAATAAGGAGAAACTTGCCAAAACCCTAGAGGTCTCACATACCAATCCCACTCTAGCCTGAACAAGGAAGGTGGAATCAGGGAGCAGTGTTACATAAAAACAAAAACAGACGGGGGGGGGGGGGGGGGGGGACGACGACACACGACACACGACACGACCCTCCACAGTTCAGTGCAGTTCTAGGCACTGTGTGCTAGATGCCTGCTGAGCTTCCCCTGTCGGGAAACTTGAGAAAGGAAAACCTGGGAAGAACCAGAACTCTGAGGCTCATTCATCTTGTATCTTAGATCTCATGCTACATCCACCAAAACTCAAATGCTGAATCCTTAAGCCCACGGCTTAAGCCCTCTAAGGAGGTATCAAGGTTTGGAGCTGGGGCTAGAGAGATGGTTGAAACCTGTACTGCTCTTGCAGAGGACCTGAGTTCAGTTCCCAACACCTGTATCAAGCAGATCACAACTTCTGTAATCCCAGCACCATACACTCCAACCGCCTTATTTGACTCCACAGGCACCTGTACTCACACATGCGCATACCCACATAAATAAAAATAAAAGTTAAATCTTTTTATAACATTTTGGGCATGGAGCTTGATGGTAGAACAGTGGATGGTTCAGTTGACTGGCATGAGTGAAGCAGGATGGTGCCCGTATTCCTAAAAGACTCAATATACACACAAATTGCAGCATGTTTTAAGATCGGAGAGATCACTCCAAAGGCAGATGTAGGGGCAGAGGCCAAAGCTCAGGGGTGGAAGGTTTGTCTCACACATGTGAGGCCCCAGCCTTAATCTCTAGCATTGCCAAAGAAAACAAAGGCATCTGAAGGTAGATGTAGTTGTGGGGATTGTTTTCAGTGTTTAGCAGAGAATTCCCAGCCTATAAATCCTGTCCACTACAGGGAACTAAGAGTTGCCCTCAAGTACCTGTCTCATTTTTCACATGATGGGAAATGGAGAAAAACAAAACATAAAAAAGTATTAAGAATTTTCTTTTAAAGACCTGTGGATCCAACCACTGTAACAGGCCATGCCTGAGAGCCATATAGTACAAGTGCCTACCAGATTCTGGGCAGAAAGATGTAATTTGAGGTTCAATTTGTTAACACATTTGACAGTTTCTATTTTATTAAAAAATTATTTCACTCACTTGCTTTATTTATAATTTTTAAATTTTATGTGTAGTTGTATACTGCTTTGCATGTATGTATATGTATGCTCTTTGTGTGTGCCTGGATCCCTTGGAGGCTACAAGAGGGCACAGATCACTTAGCACTGGAGTTATGGACAGTTGTAAGCTGCCATATGAGTGCTGGGAACCAAACTCAGGTTCTTGGAAAGAACAGTAAGTGTTCCTAATTTTTATTTTTGAGACACAGCCACGCTATGCATACAGTCTTGGCTGACCTGGAACTCACTATGTAGACCAAGCTGGTCTTACACTCTGATATCCACCTGTCTCTGCCTCACAAGTGCTGAGATTCAGGGGGTGTGCCACCATGCCTGGCACCTCCTAGTTTGTTTGTTTGTTTGTTTTAATTTATACAGTCTTTATAACAGCCATTTAGAGCAGTTAGACACAGTCCTGCTTAAACACATTACTTTCACATTTAAATTGCATTGCTGCTCCCACTGAGAATCAACCCAGGAGTGCCTGATGTTGGGTAATGAATACCGTCTTTTGGTACATGGATGTATTGTGTTGTCTAACTAGGACTCCCAAGGCTACCCTGAGAAACCCTGTCTCGAAAACTAATAAATAAATAAACAAATCTCAAAAAAAAAAGCAAAAAAACAAAAACAAAAACACTGGATGCGGCAGGTGTGGGATTTCTGCAAATGACAATGCCCATCTCAAACTGAGGAGACTCTTAATAAGTTGGGCCCAACAATGATGCCAGAGACTAATCACTCTCCCAAGCATTTACAGAAAGACTCAAAAGCAAACACACTACTGCCCTAATAGGGAGGCAGGCTCAAGACCAAAGTGTACACCAGAGCCAGGACAAGTTTTTACTCTAGGCTTTTTGTCTTGGTCCAGGTCGCTCAAAGTTTGGTATATTCTCTTCAGACTGATACTCAATGCTATCTCTAATATCAAATACAAAAACAACTGAGTTAATGTGTTCAGAATGTGGGACTGTGCTGAACATGTGATATTTAACCCAAGTTACTCCCAAATAAGGAGAACCTTGCCAAAACCCTATAGGTCTCACATACCAACCCCGCTCTGACCTGAACAAGGAAGGTGGAATCAGGGAGCAATGCTACGAAAAAACAGACGGGCCCCCAACCTTCCACAGTTCAGGGCAGTTTAGACGCTGTGTGCTAGGTGCCTGCTAACTGAGCTTCCCCTGTCGGGAAACTTGAGAAGGGAAAACCTGGGAAGAACCAGAACTCTGAGGCTTTTCTGAACAGCTTTAAAGGGAATAAGAATATCACTTTCAGCTTTAAAGGAAGTAAGAATATCACTTTCAGGGTTCCAAGCTAGGATCTGAGCTTCTGAGTAGGGAAACAGGCTCTTCCTCCCACAGCACACAGCAGAAGGTCCTGGGCTGGTGAGGACATCTCTACTTTAAACACATCGAGGACTAATGCACAGAGATGCCACAATAGCTGCTGTGAGGAAGGATTATGCCCTACAGAGTCCTGCCAGGTATCACTGTGCACCATACTGTGCGGCCAACGTAGAGTGTCTCTCCTATCATCTGGTGGTCACACCTGCCACAGAAATACACTGTGTGCTATATGCTTAATAACTGAGCTTCCCCTAACATCTACCCCACCTAGTCTCATGAGCCTGCCATCCCTGTGAGCCTGCCTCGAGCGGTGTGCCTATTCCTGTGACATTGTCTTATTCTGTGAGCCTGTCTTGTTGGAGTAGATGTTTGGGCTTCTCCACAAATCGGACAGCAGGCAGTGAGTGTTGAGTGCTGTCATGCTAGATGGTTTGTCTGGCCTGCTCTGTCTCATAACCAAAGTGTACTCAGTGCACACAGATACAAGACCACCCATGGAGCCACCATGAATACCCACCGTATCACCTGCCTGTCTCGTATAAGCAGCTTAATGACAGACAATAACCTCAAGTAGGTACTATGTAATGGCAATGACATCTCTAAATGGGACTTCTATAAGAACTTCTGCAGAAAACAAAAGATGCAGAAACAAGGCCAAAGGCCTGAGAGTGAGAAAGAAAAGCAAAAGCACTGAAATCGTTATGAAAAACTGCTGTGGCAATTTTAGGTTTTGTTTAGTTCATTTTCTTAGATTTATTTTATGTACATGAGTGTTTTATGCATATGTGTGTCTATGTTATAGATGTGGTGCGCCACCATGAGGATGCTGAGAATTGAACCCAGTCTTCTGCAGGAAAAACAAATACTTGTAGCTATCTCTCCAGCCCCTGTGGTCACTTATAATTGACAGTCTATAAAGTATGATTTGGTAGACAGAAACATCTGTGATTTCTCAGCCCAATGTACAGGAGGGGATAGAGTAGCCGCTACATTTGCTGTACTATTTTATAAATGCCAGTGGATAACTAATCTCTTAAATCAGAGTCAGAGCTCCCCAGAGGTTAAGTGTGCCCATCAGTGGCACACAGCACACCCAGAATACCAGAATGCACGCTCAAGGGCTGCAGGTCTTTCCACTCACCTGGCTGTTGGGATCTCCCAGTAGGTTACATATATGTGGCACGATCTTGCTTAGTGTTAGAGTCTGTGCCCCAGAGCTGCAAATGAAATGCATGAGTGAGAACAAAGGGAAGAAAGATGCCAGTGCCCACACCTACCCTTCCCTTCTCCACCCCCAGGATTAGTCCCTCACCAAGGTTCCCTCCATTCTACTCAAAGTGGCTCCAAAGCACCCCAGAGTCCATTTGCAGAGCTCAGTCTCTTCCATGGCCTGGCCTTGAAGACGACACCAAGGTCTGCACCTTGCCATTCTGCTTGTCTCAGACGCTCATTCTGCTGTATCAGGTCATACTTCCCATTCTGCCAAACTCAGTGGACCCACCCAAACTCCATGGTCATCTCTGGAGGGGCTTGCAGACTCTCTGTTAATGTTGCTGGTGACAAGGTAGCTGTAAGGCATCTGACCACACACTGCTCTGCTGGGGAACTCCAAATTTGTCACTTTTCTTTGAGGTTCAATTTTACTTTAGTTATGTGTGTGCATGTCTGCCTGTCTGTATGCATGCCAGAAGAGGAATCCGATCCCCTGAAATGACATCTATAGGCAGTTATGAGCCACCGGGTGTGGGTTCAGGCAACCAAACTCATTTCCTCTGGAACAGAAGCAAGCACTCTCAATCATTTAAACATCTCCCCAGTCCTTTCACCATTGTAGTGTGATGTCACAGACATTATTTGTGAATACACTCTATAAAACAGCACAGACAACTCGGGAAATTACTTCAGCAGTTTCTTTTTAATAATTTATTTATTTTTATTTTATATACATTGGTGTTTTGCCGGCATGTGTGTCTGTATGAGAGCATCAGATCATCCTGGAATGGGAGTTACAGACGGTTGTGAGCTGCCATGTGGGTGCTGGGAACTGAACTCAGGTCCTCTGGAAGAGCAGCCATGCTCTTAACCACTGAGCCATCTCTCCAGCCCCAGTGGTTTCTTTTAAAAACTAAAAATGGGGTAGGGAGTGGAAGGGTGGCTCAGCGCCTAAGAGCACCGGCTATTCTTTCAGAAGGCCAGGGTTCAATACCCAGCACTCACATGGCAGTTCACAACCATCTGTACTACAGTTCCAGGAGGATCTAATACCCTCTCCTAGACTCCAAGGGTACCAGGCACTCATATAGTGCATGGACATACATGCAGGCAAAACTCCCAAACATAATAAATAAATGAGCAAACAAACAAAAAATGGGCTTAGAAAATGAGCCTTCCATTGTACTCTTACTCAAGAGAACTGAAAATTTACACTTGTGCAGAAACTTGTACACATATCCATAGCAATTTTACTCCCTAGAGGCCCAAACTTGAAGTCACCCACATTTTCTTCAATGGATGAACAGCCAAATAAATTAGACTACATCTATAGCATACATTCTATACCATATAATCTATACTACAGTATAGATACTATACCTACAGAGTCTACTCAGCAGTAAAACTTTTGAATTATCAGCATCAATGATATACAGTACAAGCGCTAGGGAACTTCACTGAGTGGGAACCGAGAAGCCAACCCTGAGAGGGTGCTCAAGGCTTGATTCCACGTGAATAACAGTTTGATGTGACAAGATCATAGAGTCAGAGTCCCCGTTAGTGGCTGCCACAGGCTATAAAGTGTGTGACAAAAGGGCAGTGGGTGGCAATGTGGACAAGTTCTGTGAGCAGCACCCAGACTTCCACAAGGTACTGAAGGCTACACCATCCTGTGTGAAATCCTACACTGGTCAGGTAGAGGGAAGGAGCTGCTTCCCACTATATTTCTTTACAGCTACCAGTAGATCTAATTACCAGATCTACAAAGGTGGTGGTGATCCTTTTTGTTTTGTTTTAAAGCTTTAGCCAAGGAGCTGGAAATATAATTCAGATAGAATGGTTGCCTAGCATCCCCGGAACCAAAGAAATAGGACCCATGTTGGCCTGTGCCAGTAAGCCCAGCTCTTGAAGAGTGGAGGCAGGAGGACCAGAAGTTCAAGACAAACTCAATTACAAATGAAGTTCAAGACCAGAGGACCATATGAGACCTTATCTTAAAAAAAATAAAAAATAAAAATCTGGCCAGTGGTGATGAATACCTTTAATCACAGCACTTCGGAGGCAGAGGCAGACAGATCTCTGAGTTTGAGGCCAGTATGGCCTACAAAGCAGGTTCCAGGACAGGCTCCAAAGCTAAAGAGAAACCCCCGTCTCAGAAAAAAGTGGGGCAGGGGGAAGAGCTTTAGCTAAGCACACTTTGCAGGTTCACCCCAGACTTACGCATTGAGTGTTGCAATAAGGCAGAGGCAGATGCCCTCTCTCGTGCGGAAGTTCTTGTGTTTGAAGCCTCCAAGCATTCTGTCCCACACATACTGCAGATGACAAGGAACAGGTGAGAGGGTAAGGATTTCGCAGCCCTTCACAGCAAGGAAGGAGGCAACAGAATACGAGCCTCTTCACAGGAACTAAACTGGCCCCATTCCCACCGGCCCCCAGGGTCCTCTCACAATCACACTGATGTAGGACAGGGAATTAAACTTTATTAAACACATGCAGTTGCAGTGTGAAAAGTATGTGCACTTACGTAACACTACTGATTCCCCCCATACCCCTAAGGAGGTATAATTACCCCATTTTATGACTGAGAACAGGACACCCCAAAACCAGCAAGCATGCACTCTACTCCTCACCCTCCTCACTGAGGCTCACCCCATATTGTTTTATCTCCCCTGGAAAACTGCTGTTGGCTGCCCCAGCTGTATCCCCTGACAATGGTCAGTGGGAACTTGGATGATAGGGCTGGGCCCATCCATTCAAGCAAGCTCCGCTGTCATATAGGAACCAGGGTCCCAGCCAGGCCTACTGGCTCCTCAGATACCACCAGCTACCCCTTACCAGAGAAAGGGAGAGCCAGTGTCATAAGTAAGCTAAAGGGCATGACAGATTAATCAACCCACTAATTTATTCAAATGATACATTTTTCTAGTCATATATTTAAATCTCTCATATGAGAGACTGTGGGCTATAAGAATGGTCATTGCTGGACTGGCTAGCTTTATGTTAACTTGACACAAGCTAGAGTCATCAGAGGAAGGAGCATCAGTTGAGGAAATGCCTCCATGAGATCCAGCTGTAAGGCATTTTCTCAATTAGTGATCAATGCCAGAGGGTGGTACCATTCCTGGGCTGCTGGTTCTGAGTTCTAAAAGAAAGCAAGCTGAGCAAGCCATGGGAAGCAAGGTAGTAAGTAGTAACCTTCCACAGCCTCTGCATCACCGTCTGCCTTCAGGATCCTTCCTGCCCTGTTTAAATTCCTGTCCTGACCTCCTTCAAAGATGAACAGTACTGTGGAAGTGTAAGCAGAATAAAATCTTTCTTCCCTAACTTGCTTTTTGGTTATGGTATCTTGTGGAAGCAACAGAAACCCTAACCAAGACAATCTCTAGCCCACCAGCTTAAAAGAAATTGAGCCCAGGGAATTGCATGAACACTGTTTGTGCATACAGGAGAGCTTCTCTTGTCCTACCTGGGGGTTAGCAGCTTGATCCATGATCTTTAGCAGCAGGGTTTGGTCTTGCTCCCTCACGGAGTCCTTAGCATCTCCTAGTCTGTCTATTAGACTTGGCAACACTGGAAACCAAAATGGAAATGATTAAATGAAAAAGATCTGGGGATCTGAGGTCACCCACTGCTCATCTGCAGTAAGCTGGCCCAAATAAGGAATTCAAAAAGCCTATTCCATACGCAGTTATTCCAAAGTCACCCATCCTTGGTCAGAGCTCTCTCCACTCTCCTTGCCGAAATCCACTTTCATAAGCACAGACACTGGCAGAACCTTGTACTTAGGCAGACTGTCTCTACACTCACTTTACTCCAGTCACATCCCAACATATCCGGAACCCGATAAAATATTAAAATAGAAGGCTTTGGCATGCAAGGGTGACACAAAGAAAACCTGAAGGAAGGAAAGAGCTGAGTAAGCATCGGGACATAGAGGTAGGAGGATCACGAGGGAGGAGGACCAGGATCAAGTCATAAGGTCTTCCTTTGCTGCATGGAAGGTTCAAGGCCAGCCAAGGATATAAGGCACCCAGTGTCAGATGGAGGAAGGAAGGAAGGAAGGAAGGAAGGAAGGAAGGAAGGAAGGAAGGAAAGTAGGAGCACTCCCAAGAACCTCCCCTTCCCTGAGGATTTAGATGCAGTTAATTGTTGATGGGAGAGAGAGACATTTTCATTGGTAGTTACACTATGGATAAGGGCCATTACCCCAAAACAACCCTTCACCCATGCTTCTGTAAACAAGCCTAATGAAGCTCAGTGGTCATGGGAGAAAAAAAAAAAAAAGACATGAAAGCAAGAGAACTAGGTGGGAAAGGAATGGCATCAGCAGGAGGGGAGGGGAACAGAGGTAACTGCAAGAGTAGGTATATATATATATTTTATATATACATATATATATATAATGTATAAAATGTAATGCTTTATAATTGACATGTGCTAATAAAAACATTAAACAGGCCCTATCTGAAGACAAAGGGGATCAACATGCTTCACTGGCATTGGGTACATTTTACTTATAGCACCATAAGACACACACCACATCTATACACTGAAGCATGGGACAGCCCGCCCATTCCTATCCCATGCCTATTAGGCTTCTTGTGAGAATCCATGAGTCTTAAGCTAATGTAGGAGGGAAATGAAAAATGGTCCAAACACCAAATTCCTAGATGGTCCCACCATCTTTCTCAGTGAGCACACTGACCAAAGCTACAGAAAAGAAAAAGGATAAACACTCATGATGAACGCTACTGGAAAATTCCAGCTAACACTCTGTGTGGCTCAGTGGTCAGAGTGCTTGACTGACACAGAGGCCCTGGGTTAAAACCACTGCCCACACAAAACAGAAATAAGAAAAAGGGATGGAGAGATTCTTCTACAGAAACAGTTGCATAAACAGAACTCCTTCCTGTTTACATTGCCTCCAAGAAACACCTTGATTTTGTGGCATTTAAACTGTCGGAAAATCCTACTGGCTCCTTTTTTTTTTGTAGGACTCTTAATAGAAAACTGCCTCTTGGGAGGGGCTGGGGACAATATACACTGGCTGGCATCAAGTCTGATGGCTACTCTTGCATAAAGTCCTCAATTGGTAGTATTTCATATTCAAAGTCACAGAAGGAAGGACTATTTCAGAATTAGAGGTAAAAGGTGTCAGTTTAGAGGGAGTGAATCCGTGATGTGGGGTGAGTCCAGAGAGGCAGGAGAGGCTGAGAGTCTGCTGGTCACAGCTTACCCGTGCCGATTTGTGCCTTGAACCGGTCCTGAAGCCTTGTCACCAGTGCAGACAGGATGTCCATGCCCAGGAGAACCACCTGCAATGGGAAACAGGCACAGCGTGAGCGATGCAGTGAGGTAGTGCCAGCATATCTTGTCCCCGCGGTCGCACAGCCCCGAGAGCCTAATGGCTGAGACGATGAGCTGGGCTGGCCAGGAAAGGATGCTCGGCACGAAAAAACTAGTTAAGGTTTGGAAGAAAAACTCACCAAGGCGAAACTCCACTGAAATAGAAGCAGCTCAACCCACAGG